TAAGTTTAAAAATCTTTAGACCCTGGACTGAAGAACTTGTTGAATCCAGTAAGCCCCACATTTAATACGAAAGTTTCTTTGTTGTATTTTTTTGCAAGACAATCATAAGGAATTCCCTCTATTTCATTGACACTGCTGTTGTTAAAAAGAACGTTCAGATTGAACTATTTCTTTTCTTTCCATTACTGCCACGTCACAAAATATACGACATAGTTCTATCTTGCAGAGTTCAGCTGAGTGCAAGTTTGTCTTCTGACTGTTAGATGGAAGCACGCTGCTTCTAGTACGAATTTTTTCCAATATGGTTATTTAGCCATTAGCTTTCATCAGGCAACTTCTGAAGGCAGTTGGTTGCATTTAGAAAAAAAAGGGGCAGAATAATTTTGCGGACTGCCTATTGAGTATTTTTATTTGCGAAATAAATATTTAAATGATGATTTTTTTCCTACTTCACGGTTGTATGCTCTTTTGCTTCTTTTATCCCAAAAAATTACTTAAGTTTATGGCTGTAATGTTACAAAATACTGTAAACTTTAAAGGATAGAATAATTTTGCAAGCCACTGCAAATTAATACATTAACTCTGCTTAATATCAAACTGATCTCTGAAGGCATTTGGTTGTACAGGGTTGCTTTAAGGGTATTGAAGTAAAAGGGAATAAATGTACATGCAACAGCCACATATTTTAGTTTTTGAGAAATTTAGAAAAAAATGTTTACTTTATTTTGTTTCACATTGTTGCCCCTTGTTTTGGTTTTCACAATAAATATGAACAAAAGCAATTTGGCAGAGAAATACAAAAAAATGTGGACAAGAAAAGGACACCAATATTTAAAAGTTGGGATTTCAATTAAAACTACAATTATGTATTTTATCATTATGGTAAAATAAGAGGATTTTGAGAAGTTTAATATTAGTATGTTAGATTTAAATATAATTATCATCCATCTTTGCTTATATTATGCATTTAATGAAGACCTGAGTAATGCAACTATCTTTAAGCTGATATTTGAGACAGCTCAAGTTGTGATTATTCCTCTATTTAAAAGTATTGCTGTGTTTTTTTATTGTGCTATTTTCTTCCCATGATCGTGTTGCCCTCCTTCACTCTGCCCATGATCATGATGCTCTACTGATGCCTGATCTTCCTTCCTTTTTTCTGCAGTCAATGAAAAGTCACATTTGATATAAAAATAACTTGAATACAAGGAATCAATACCACATATATATTTACAGCAGTCGTGCTTGAGCGGTTAGGGTGTCAGACTTGGATCCCAAAGGTTACCGGTTCGACTCCCGACCCGCCAGGTTGGTGGGGGGAGTAATTAACCAGCGCTCTCCTCCATGACTGAGGTACCCTGAGCATGGTACCGCCACACTGCTCCCTTGGGGCGCCATTGAGGGCTGCCCCCTTGCACGGGTGAGGCATAAATGCAATTTCATGGTGTGCAGTGTTCACTTGTGTGTGCTGTGTCACAATGACAATGGGAGTTGGAGGAGTTTCCCAAAGGGCTTTCACTTCACTTTACATCTGAATTTCTTATGTTAATGACATAAGACACCACAATTCTTGATTAACTGTTCTAAAACATGAAAATCAGTAGCAGTAAAAACTAATGAGCTGTATCAAAGTTAATGACTCATGATTTCTCTTGAAAACTTCTACTTTTGAAGGTGCTCTTATCTACACCACCACAACTTAATGCTGTTAGTATCTTACCTGGAAGCTCCTGCACTCTCTTAGCCTGCTGCTGATCGCTCTGCTCCTGATCGTTCTGCTGCTGATCCCTCTGCTCCTGATCGTTCTGCTGCTGATCCCTCTGCTCCTGATCGTTCTGCTGCTGATCTCGCTTCTGTGCTGAAGCAGCTGTCTCTTCTCCTATTTCTGGTTACAACCAAAGGACACAGTTAATGTGCAAAACAACATAATCATTCTTTTGATGAAGAACAGAGAAAAACAAGGACATGTCACTTGACGTAACATTTTATAATGTAACACAGGACACGGAAAGCAGGCTTTATGCTTTTCAGAGAGAAAATATATAATTTACTTACAGAGTATCATGTTGCATTAATAGTTGGTTGTTAATTTTGTTCTGGTTCTGACATGCTTATATTCAGATCTGTACAGTATATATCATTTGATGTAAAATAGTGACAGAAATGGGTTTATAATGGTAACACAGATTTTCAAACATTTAGTTTAACATAGTTCATGGTTAGAGTGTTTGCTGTTTAGTAGTTGACTAGAAGCTTTTATAGCCAAACAGTGGGAGAAGTGGGAAGTATTACCTGTGGGTTGATGTGAGGTTTAAGATGAGAAATGTTTAAAACTAGTCAATCTTATATTTTAACCCACACAAAGAAAGTAAAATAGCCAACACACTTCAGGATGTCGCACTGGCAGTGTCTCTCCATTAAGAGAGACAAAGTCGGTGAATAAAATATGAAAGAAATAAAAGTTTTAAGTTAGATAAAACAATGTATTTATCTATAATTAAAAGCAAAATAGTATATAGCATTCAAGTTAAAAAACTATGACTGAATCACATTGTTTTAAATAAAATAGAAGCCTAAATGTTGTAGGATAAAATAGAAAATTTAAACATGAAAAAACATGATAACAAACCAGCTGCTTAGCCAGAAACATGAATACTAAGTGATGATGCTGTGAATGAGATCAAATGCTTCTACAACAAGAACAACACAGAAATGTTGAATGCTCTCTGAAATCTCAAAGAGGATGATGGAGATCACAGAATTACATCCAACCTTGAAGAACTTAATCATTTACATCGGAGCACTAACTGATGTTGCTAAGAGGAAGTCAGACATATTAAAGAAAGATGTGATTAGTCTGCAGAACAGACATTTTAAAGTTTTCTTTAGTGACCCAGCTGTGCTACCTGCACCCGGAGATGAAGTCTTCAGCAGAGTTTTCTACCTGAAGAAATTAATCAAACGAGCCTGCTTTGCAAGATAAATTATTGATAACTTTAATATCTTCTGGGAAAAGAGAAACCTCTTGTGGAGTGATGGATTTCAAATTTCAAACTTTTTGGATCAAAACAATTTCACTAACTGAACAAAGTAAACGATTTGAATGAAAACCCTATAAAGAGTCTCCCTGATGATAAACGTCGCTCTGCTGAGGCCTTGGAAAGCGGCTTCTTGGAACGGTAACAACAATAGAGTGAACAAATGATAAAACTCTTCCGGTCTCCATTCTTGTTGTTTTTTAACGCAGGTGAAAAACTCAGAGCGGAAGCACTGTTGGTTTTTGGGTCGTGTAGTTTTTTTGACTTGCATTATAGTGTAGGCTTAAAGCTACAGTGTGTAACTTTTAGCGACATCTAGCGCGGTCAGACTGCAGACTGCAGCAACATGAACATCCCCA